AAAAAGGGGGCTTTTTCTTTTCCCCCATCGTCAACAGTTTCCTTTTAACACCAGCCACCCACCCTAGTTCTCCCCCCCGCCTCCGCCCCGAAGCGTGGGCATGTGAGAGTTAATATGTCTCTTAACTCACCAGTGACCCAGTGAAGGTTGAGAGAGATCAAAGGAGAAAGAAGAGGGTTTTAATGAGAGTGGTTGGAACTGGAGTTTCCTCATTCACTGCTGGGGGAGAGGAAGGTTTGGGAACCCCCTCCCTCCATCCCAGCCTCCTCCTTGCTTGCAGCTCTGCTCTGGGAAGCCTCTGGGTGGGGATTGGGGAGGCAGAGCCACCCCAGATGGGCTGCGGGCGAGATGAAACCGGCTCTGCACCATTTCGTAGCTGGCAGGGACCACGTCTCGCTGCATTTCCCCTTCAGAAGCAGGCCCAGCCTTTCCTACAATCACAGGACTCCCAGAGATGGGGCTTTATTGCTGATACCGTGGCATGGGAGGCAATGGAAACAGAGAAAGGGAATAGACAGGGTCGGGAAGGCGCCACCCTCCCTTGAAACTGCCGGCAGTGAAATCCACTGAAGGGAGCCCAGCATTCCCCCGTGCCTCAGTTTCCCCAGCTAGAAGGCAGCAGGCCTGCGAGTGACCTGCTCTACATCCCATCGGCATAGGCAGCCTAAATGATTGGGGGTTTCGTAAAGATGACATCCTTCCCATAACAGCCAGGATCTGTGGTCATCGCTTCCCCTTCTAGCGGCCCCAATCCAGCCAGATTTGTCTCATGCCCTATGCCCTTCCTGGAAATACCCCGGCCCCAAAGCAACTGGCTTCTGAGCCAGGTATTGCCACCATCCACGGGCCCAGCAGCGGTGTAAAGTGGTGTTGTCTCAGCCCCATTGTGACCCGCGCTATGGTGAGGGCAGGGGGGTCCTTACAGGGGCCCAGAGGTGGGGACCAGCCCCTGAGGGCAGGGGCAGAGGAGCCGGGCCAGGACCCAGCTCATGGCAGCAGCTTGACATCTCTCTCATTTGCCAACATTGCCGGCACCGACCATGCCAAGGGCCGAGACACCCGCCGTGGGCATTGACCTGGGCACCACCTACTCCTGCGTCGGCATCTGCCAGCACGGCAAGGTGGAGATCATCGCCAACGACCAAGGCAACCGCACCACCCCCAGCTACGTGGCCTTCACGGCCACCGAGCGCCTGGTTGGGGATCCTGCCAAGAGCCAAGCTGCCCTCAACCCCCACAACACCGTCTTCGATGCCAAGCGGCTGCTGGGCCGGCGCTTCGAGGAGCCGGGGGTACAGGCAGACATGAAGCACTGGCCTTTCCGGGTGGTGAACGAGGAGGGAAAGCTGAAGGTACGGGTGTCCCACAAAGGGAAGGAGCGGGATTTCTATCCGGAGGAGATCTCTGCCATGGTGCTGGCCAAGATGAAGCAGACGGCCGAAGCCTACCTCGGCCACCCGGTCACCCAAGCCGTCATCACCGTGCCGGCCTACTTCAACGACGCGCAGCGCCGCGCCACCATCGACGCGGGCACCATTGCTGGCCTCCACGTCCTCAAGATCCTCAACGAACCCACGGCGGCTGCCATCGCCTATGGGCTGGAGACCGGGAGCCCAGGGGGCGAGGCGCGCCACGTGCTCGTCTTCGACCTAGGGGGTGGCACCTTCGATGTGTCCGTCCTGCGGGTGGAAGATGGCATCTTCGAGGTGAAGGCCACGGCTGGGGATACCCACCTGGGCGGGGAGGACTTTGACAGCCGGCTGGTGGAGCATTTGGTGCGGGAATTCAGGAGGAAGCACAAGGAGGACCTCAGTCAGGACAAGAAAGCCTTGCAGAGGCTCCGGTCGGCTTGCGAAAGAGCCAAGCGCACGCTCTCCTCCGGTACCACCGCCACCCTCTCCATCGACTCCCTCTACAAGGGGCTGGACTTCCACACCACCCTCACCCGGGCCCGCTTTGAGGACCTCTGCTCCGACCTCTTCCAAGCCACCCTGAAGCCCTTGCAGCGGGCGCTGCAAGATGCCCGCCTCACCACGGACCAGATCCACGCCATGGTGCTGGTGGGCGGCTCCACCCGCATCCCCAAGGTGCAGGCGCTGCTGTGCGGCTTCTTCGGCGGGCGGGAGCCCAGCAAGGGCATCAACCCCGACGAGGCGGTGGCTTACGGTGCGGCTGTGCAGGCAGCCGTCTTGACCGGCCACCGCACCCGGGGCCTGCAGAACCTGCTGCTTCTGGACGTGACCCCGCTGTCCCTGGGCATCGACACGGTGGGTGGCGTGATGGCCACCGTGATCCGACGCAATTCCCCAGTGCCCACCAAAGAGACCATGAACTTCACCACGGCTGAGGATGACCAGGACACGGTGGTGTTTGAGGTGTACGAAGGGGAGCGTCCCCTGAGCAAGAACAACCACTTGCTGGGCACTTTCTTCCTCAGTGGCCTTCCCCCGGCGCCCCGTGGTGAGCCCGTGGTGGAGGTCACCTTCTCCATCGATGCCAACAGCGTCCTCACCGTCTCCGCCAGGGACACCCACACAGGCAACACCAGCCAGCTCACCATCGCCGACACCCGGGGCCGGCTGGACCGCGAGGAGGTCCAGAGGATGGTGCAGGAGGCGGAGGAATGCAAGGTCCAGGACCGGGCGCAGCAGGAGGCCGTTGAAGCCATGAACTCCCTGGAGTCGTGCGCGCTGCAGCTGAAGCGGGCGGCCGAGGGCGGGCACGGGGTGGACGTGCGAGCCAAGAAGAGGGTGCTGGCTCTGTGCGAGGAGACGGCCTCGTGGCTGGAGGGGAGCCCGCTGGCTCAGAAGGAGGAGTACGAGGAGCGGCGGAGGGAGCTGGAAGAAGCCTGGGATTCAGCTTTCTCCACACTGAACCCAGGAGGGGAGCCCAGGCTGGAGCCAGAGGAGCAGGAGGGGGCGGCTGCTAGGGAGGAGCTCAGGGAACACCTGGATTGAGGAGACCCAGCTCTGCCCCCTGCCTCAGAGCCCATTAAAAGGAGAAATGGATCCCAGCTGTGTGGCCTCCTATTTTAGTGCTGCTGCTATGGGAAGGGAAGCTGGAGCCCGGAGATGCGGGGAGTGATTTGGCCAAGGTGAAGCTGTGAGTTGGTGGCAGACGGGGACATAGACCCCAGGGGTGCAGACTCCCAGCTTCTGCTCTACCCACTCAATAACACTTCCCCTTGGAAGTGCTACTAGACCCCAGGGCTTGTGCCTTCTTCAGGAGACAATCCCCTCCTTCCCTGCGGGTGTTTGGGCATGAACTGCCTGTGGAAAGGCAGCAAAGGCTTGAGAGGGGGAGAGGAGCCCAGAGGAAGAATAGCCGTGTCTAGAAGCCTCTCATGTGAGCAGGGGCCAGAAACGGGCCTGGATGGGACCTGCCTATGAGCTTAATGCTCACCTGCCTTTGATCAGTTAATGCCTGCCATGTTCCACCCCAGAGCTGGCTGCCTTCAAGCAGGGAGGGTGAAACCCAGATGCCCAGGATAAGCTACCTCCTCCCACCAGTCATCTCCAGCCTGGCTCACCTTGCTGAGGCTGGGGAAGCAGGAACCACTGGGCTGAAGCCTGGCCAGTGCTTTCTGCTAAAGGCAGGCAACAACTTAACCCATCACCCTCCCTTGGCCAGAAACCGTGAAGTCGCCCAGCGCTGGAGCCCTGTGATCCACTAATTGATATGGGAAGAGGGAGGGTTTGGACAGGGGGGCACAGGGCAGAAAATGGATCTCTCCGGAGAGCTCTGGCCAAGACGGCCTGGCCTGGCAGGGCTGAGCTCCTTACAGTGCACTTGCACTGGGATCCACCACAGCCCTTGGGCGGCAAGTGGGGAAACAGAGGCTGCCAGCCCCTCTTCGCTGTCTGCTCATACAGCGCCAGGTGCCACAAGGCTCCCATGTGGCACTGTGATGATGATAATGCCACAGAGCAACTTGGTCAAGGCTGGTTGGGAAGTCAGTAGCAGAGGCAGGGGCCCTATGGAGCCTCAGTATCTTCAGGCCCCTAATTTCCTCCCACAGCTTGAGCCCCAGGATCCTTGGTGGTGCCTGTCTGTCCCCAGCAACCGGGCCCTGCCTCCCCCTTGTGCAATCAGGCTGTGCTGTTAGCCCTGTTAGAGGTTTTTTGAAGTATAAATAGTTATATATATATATACACAGCATCTAGCATAAACTTGCCACCATGCACCTTAAACCACGTCAGGAAACCGCACACCCATTAGCCCTGTTAGATGCGAGATAGAGGGGGGCTAAGTGATGCACCCAAGGCCACAAAGGGAGTCTGTAGCAGAGATGGGCAGCCACCCCCCCCCCCCCCCCCCCTCCCACCCCC